AAAAAAAAAAAAAAAAAAAAAAAAAAAGATTTCCTTTAGTGGAGATAACTGTGTACATGTCCTCGAGACAGTGGGTGTGGCCACACAGAATGATGCTGAGCAGCTCATTCAGGGAATGAGCCTCATCATCTGACCGAAAGCCTGAAACACTAGAACAGAACTGATGCCCTAGGCCATCTACTATATAATCCTTTTGACACCAATTGAATATCCAACGGGCTTGGGACAAATTCATAGGCAGCAGGAAATGTTATAAAGTGATAGTTTGGGGTCTGTAAATATTTTGTAAGTCCTATTTTTCCTTGGTTGGTTCATTAAGCTCCGAGTTGCATGGACAGTACTCCTCAATTCTTTATATCTATGGAAGACCTCCCAGAAGAGACGGTCTTCTAAGAATTGCAAGCTTCCCCTATGACGCCATCGCGAACAGGTCATAAGGGAAGTTTCTTCCTAAGAGAGCAAGGATTTTAGGCCCAGTTGGGTTGTAAGTGGAGCTGAGAATGGATGGACAACTTTTCTATCACGTCCACTTAAAGGAGAGCTTTCTGGAGGGAGAGGGAGGTCATTGGAGGAAAACAGGAGAGAGGCCAATCCAAGTTTCCTTGCTGGTACTGTGCCCTGCTAAACTTCCTCCTGTGTCCCCATCATGCTAGGTCATCACCACGGGCCACTCATGCTCAGAAGCCTAATCAAAAGCACCACTTGTCTCGGGAAGAAGACTGAGATTACTATGAAAATCACAGCGAGGCAGAAACACACCGTCCTCCCTGTCAGCAAGCTTCATGCCTGATCTATGAAACTTGTGCTGATAAAGGAGATAAATGTTTAAGCGATGGGCTTCAGATGCTGCTTCAGCTCCTACCAAGAAGATTTTCACGGTTCCTTCTCATGAATAAGTTCAGTGGAGCAGAGAATGCCCCTCTTGGACCAACTCCATTTTGTGCTTCTGTTGATGCAGCCAAAAAGGGGAACTAGAGCTAGGGCTTTTCCTTCAAATTTAGAGCAAGGGTCCACCTCAGAGAGGGCTGCAAGTGGCCCAAAGAAGGTGAGGCTCCTACTTTCAGCAGAAAGCTCGTAACAAGAGCAGGGATGCCAACAGTTACGCATAAATCTCTTGAACGTGGAGGCAAGGAGGGTTAATTATCCCCCCTTCCTGCCACTCCGCTTTCTCCAATGTGTTAGCCCATCACACGGATCGCTGACTTTCTAGAAATATTCCCTGGCTTTGCGGGGACGTTCTTTCAATAAACGGCATCCAATTTGCTCACGGTCCCTGGAATCTCAATTTCCTCAAAGGATTTTTCATCTGAATCCAGTTCATGTGAAGGGTTTTTTCCTTCTTCGTTTTTCAGCATAAGGGAATAGGCAGGGCCTGCTTTACTTTTTCTTTTTCTTTTTTTTTTTCTTTTCTGTGTTATTTTTTTTCATAAACTGAAAACCTTTGCTGAAGAGTCTGAAATTTGGGAAAAAATCCAGCTCATCTGTCAGATATTTCTAGAGTTACGTAAAATGGAATGAGATTTGTACAGTTTAGAACAGGAAAAGGAAAACAGGCTAATATGTCATGTGTTCTATGAGATGAAAACTATATGATAATCAGAAAAACAGCCCCAAATGAGTTGACCCGATTCAAAGCTCTCGTTGTTGTATCAACTCACGCATAAACCAATAATAGAATAATGGTATATGGCCACATTAGGGCAAAATCTCAATCCCTACAGATTATAACCACATTTTCAAAGAGATTATAAGAAAGCATCTTGTTTCTTAAACGGGAGACACTTACGTTTTACTTGCTCTGTTTTGCTTCCTTCTAGGAAAAGAAAGAACAGCAACAAGGAAAAGATGCACTTTGTGCCCCCCACTTTCCACTTTTTTCTCATTTTGGTCACTGCAAGAGGCCACTCAAAACTGTCAGGGCCCGGTATATTCAAGCTCCTGGGGAGAAAGCAGAAAAAAAGACTTAGATCCTCTGAAACCGGTGGAGATCACTGATGCTTAAGCTTTTAACGTGTTGGCGCGGTGGGGGGGGGG